GTCATGATCACTTTTGACTCAGATAGTCATTGAAAGTTCTCCAGAGGAGACAGGGCTTGAGTCTTATCAAGACAGAAAGGAACTGGTTGAATGGAAGAGTTTAGTGAAGAAATGTGGGTCTCTGGCAAGATAAAAATCACCGTATCTGCATTATTTGTATATACATGGGAGCCTTCAAGAATACAGAGATAGATGATGCAGACAGTTATCAATAGTGTAGAATGTGATGTGGGGGCACTAATGAATGGTCAAGAATTCTTGAGACTTTTTGGGGCAACAGATACTTTTATTATAGCATGGGGACAGGACCTGGGGGTGGGGGGTAGGGCATAAACAGCTGCACTGAGATTGTGAGGAGTGACTGATGATATACTTTTCTAGTTAGTGGGGTTAGGGATAGCACAAGTCTCTAAGGAATTTGTGCACGTTAACAGCAAGGTCTCCAGGAGCTTGGAGGTCTAGCTATTGTTAAGGTAAGGTTGCTTTTATTGTTGTCTAGTAAAACATTAGCCTTGAGACCCGTCAAATGGGTATCAGTGGGTCATATGTTTGAAAGTTCATTGCTGATATATATCTTGGAGGAGGCAGTGTTTATGGTTCTTAGAAGGAAGTAACACTAATGAGAACAAAGTTGTAGCTTTAAAGGAAGTCCTTGAGGGAGCTGGCGGAGTACTGTAATCCCTATGCTTCAGGAATCATACCTGGAGCTGCAGCCAAGTCCAACCTTTGTTCCGTTTCTCCTGTCAGCATATATAACATTAAAGCAGTTATGTTAATCATTGTCGAAGGAGGTCATTGAGAGGATATGGCCACTGGTTGACCCGGAAGCTGGACCCAGGCTCCTCACTCCCTCCCCTGTCCTTGGAATATATAATGCCCACTGTTCCCACAGTCGGAGCCGTTTTTAAGGATGCAGCCTAAAGAGAGGGCCATGTGTTGAGACTACCTGAGGAGTATGTGTGACAGAGCCCAGGGGAACCCTCTATCTAAACTGTCAGGGCTCTGGCAGGTGGGTACAGAGATCGACGGATCTTGCAACAGCCTAAGGAAGCCTTGTAATCACCTGCTTATTAATCCTGCCGCCTCCCAATCTGGAGTGGCTGTCTCTTTTGTCAATCTCTCCTTGCTCTCCAAACACAGGGGCCAGTTCCTGAGTTCACTCTGGAAGCTCCCCAGTTTGCAAACTGACAATTATTCACGCAGGGAAAGAATGATTTTTTTTCTGAGAATTAGAGATTGGCACAAACAAGGTAATGTCTTAGCAGACTTTGATGGATAAACTAAGGCTACATATACATGGACTTTTGTGAAATACTGTGATGTGTTTGGGATAGTCTCCATAGTCTACTGTAGTGAGCAAGGGAGCAATATCATTGGTCTTGATAGACAGGTAGAAGATTGTCTTTTTCTTAAGGAAGGTAAATAGTAAATACAATGGGGATTAAGATAGACCAGGGAGCTTAGGAATGTCGTTAAAAAAAAAAATCTCAAAAGATCAATGATTCTGGATTCCAAAGATGTCCAATGTATGGCCATTAGAATGTATTACAAAGTGAAATGGAAGAAAATCTTTAAAATATTTTTTTGGTTAAGTTTTAACAAGAACACATACACACACATACACATATTAGTTTTACAACTCAATTAATGTTCACATATATATCAACCCATGAAACTACATCCCATAGAAAGATACAGAGTATTTTCAACAACCCAGAATATTTCCTGTACCTGTTTCCAGTGAGTATCCCTTTCCCAGAATGACCTTTATTGGATTTGTATTACCCTTGAATACATTGCCTATTCTTACATTTCCTACAAATAGTACCAAATAATATGTATTCTTGTGCCCCAACTTCTTCCATTCCTTATTATTTTGTGAGATTCATCCATGACATAGTTTTCTTTTTTCTTTTTTATTGTTGTATAGTATCTAATTTTATGAAGATTACTATAATTTATTTATCTTTTCTAGATTTAATACCATTTGAATTGTTTTTAGCTTTGGCTGCCAGAAATAAGGCTTCTGTCATATTTTTGCATATTTCTTTTGGTGGGCATATTAATTTATTTCTCTTGGATGTATATAGCTAGGAGTTAATCAGTGAGTCAAAGGGCATGCAAAATACAACTGTAGTACATACTGCCAAAATGATGGTGCCAATTTAAACTCTCACCAATCTTTTGTTTGTTTGTTTATTGAGAGAGAAAGAGAGAGAGAATGAGTGGGGAAGGGACAGGGAGGGAGGAACAGAGGATCTGAAGCAGGCTCTGCACCAACAGCAATGAGCCTGATGCTGGGCTCGAATTCACAAAGCTAACATCATGACCTGAGCTGAAGTTGGACACTCAAACGACTGAGCCACCCAAATTCCTAAACTCTCACCAACCTTGCCAATACTTGGTATTGACAATCTTCTAAAAAATGTTAGTTATTTTTTTGGATGTTTGGTATTATTGTGTTTGAATATTTACTTTTCATTTAACTGATGAATAACAACGTTGAGCACTTATCTTTTCGTGTGTATTTTGACCACTTGAATATTCTTGTTTATGAAGTGTCTGTTTAAGTCTCTTGCCTGTTGTTAAAAATTGAATTATGTGGGATTTCCATATCCCAAAAATAGAGTCTGTACTTTTTCCTATCCCTCCCAGTAAGTACAGCTAAAAACCCTGGACATTATATATAAAACAAGTATGAGAAGAAACTTAAAGATGAAGGGAAGGAAGGCCAGATAGAGACCTTGAGACCTGAATAACTGCATTGAGATGAGTTCCTGGTATTTTATTTTTGCCTCATATTATCTTGGACTGGGTACTACAGAAGCTGCAAAACTGGAAATGACAGTTAGTACAAATTTTTTTAAAGATCTCAAAAAAAAAAAAAAAGCCTGCTCTCTCTAGCCACATGACCAAGAATGGGGAATTCTAGAAAGACAGAAAATGTTTACCAATAACTGCTTACACCAGTCAAACTCCACAGGAAAACTTGAACCATACACACACACACACACACACACACACACACACACACACACACACACACACACCAGCAAGAACTGAGTGGGAAGCCTAGACTGGACCCATGCCAGACTTTACAAGGTGCCAGAATCTTGTTCGTACTCGCGTCCCTACCTACAAGTTGGCATCAGAAAAGGTCTAGTGGGAGGTAGGAATTTTATATGCACCTTGTGGTAAAGAGGTATCTCAGTCCCCTGTGACTCCATGGAGACCATATTGGAGCCTGGACTTCCACTCCCACCCTATCAAACAACGTACCCCTTGCCCTCCTCACTGGGGTGATGTCAGAGAAGGACAAACAGAAAGTTTGGACATTCACTACATTCAGCTATAAAAAGGTTACTTATCATGGTATAAGTGGAGGCCATACAGGAGCATCAAGAAGAAGGGTACCATTACTACTTCTTAGCAATAGAGAGACAATTTTCCCTAGCTCTGTGTTAATGAAGGCTAAGTACAGGACTTCAGCTTCCATTCTGATCTGCTAGTAACAAGATAGCATCCCCATTTTTGCCAGAGCAGTGTTAAAGAAGGCCTGCTAAAACATGGGATTTAAATATGGTTCAGTCTTATAATATCCACAAAGTTCAGATGTTCGTTAAAAATTACCCATTGTGCTCCAAGACTTAAGATGGATTTGAAGTTAAATAACAGAAAATAAACACTTAACAAATCAAATGTGACACCAATTTTAGAATTATCTGAAAAGAATTTAACATAACCATTATAAAAAATACTTGAATGAATAGTTATAAGTCCAATTGAGACTAATGATAAAAATAGAAACTCTGGGCAAAGAAATAAAAAGTTACAGAAAAACAAAAAGGTGATATAAAGAAAAACCAAATGGAAATTTCAAGAATAAAATACAATAAATGAAAAAAAAAAAAAACCTAAAAAGCAACAAATGGGCCCAATAGCAGAATGGAGAAGACAGAAACGAATCATTAAACTTGAGGAGAGAACAATAGGAATGACCAATTCTGAAACACACAGAAAAAAATTGACTGAAGAAAAATGAACACACCTTCAGGAACACATCATACTAAAACAATTCCAGAAGGAGAGGATCAAAAGAGTGGTACAGAAAAAATATTCAAAGAAATAATAATTAAAACTTTCCCAAATTTGGAAAAAGACAGACCTACAGGGTCAAGAAGAGTTAACTCCAAATAAGATAAATTCAAATAAATCCTTGCCAAGACACAAGTTAAATTTCAGAAAGCTAAAAGTGAAGAAGAAAAATCTTGAAAGCAGTTATAGAGAAATGATGTGTTATTTATGGGGGGAAAGAAGTCAAATGATAGCAGAATTTTTATTGTAAATCTTGGAGGCCAGAAGGAAGTTGCATATCATTTCCAGAGCTAAAAAATAATGAATTTATTGAACCCTATATCTATATCTAGGGAAAATATTCTCCACAAATAAAAGAGAAATCAAGACACTAGCAGATGATAAATGGCCCAGCTATATGCTACCTACAAGAGACTCACTTCAATTATAGAAATATAGGTAGGTTGCAATAAAATTAAGGAAAATGATATACCATGCAAAGTAATTAAAAGGAGACAGGATCAGCTATTAAATATGCCCCAGAACCCATGAACGATGAGATCATGACCTGAGCCAAAACCGAGAGTCTGATGCTTAACCAACTGAGCCACCCAGGCACCCCTTTCCCTTTATTTAAAGTACTATGTAGAAGAAGAGTTTATAGAAAGATGAAAGTGATCTGTGTCTTTTTTTTTTAATTTTAATACATAGAATTTAATTAGAAACTATTTGATGATTTTACTGAAAACTTACTTTTTTAAAAAATTTCCTATTCCAATTTGAGGAGGTGATCATGAGGATTTAGTTTCCATGAGGAAGGATTTTTAGAAACCTAGCATACCTCTGCGGAGAGCAGTCTTTTCACTTGACCTCACTCCTTGTGGATAAACTAGCTTGAATTTTATTTTGTACGTAAGGAACAGGACATGAAAGACTGGGGAAAGTTAGTAACAATCCCCCAAAAAGTAATTACATTTACTGGCAAGTTAGCAGGTAAGTTTTCAGAGCCTGTGCATGAATCCTGCGGCAGGCACATATGTTGATGAAAATTATATGCTTAGACCTGAGAGCTCCAACAGAATTGGCACCTAAACAGATAAGGAAGTACAAAAAAACGTTGGAAGACTAGGAAAGTTTTATCTGACTTTCTTAACAACTGGTTAATGAGTAACATATTTTGGTAGATATATTGGAAGATATTGCCATTTTCGTGTGAAAGTCATTAGAGAATGAAATACTCCACATGTTAGTGACAATTTTATCATCCAAGTTCATGGGCTTTCCACTTCACCTCATTCTCCAGCTCCTCCTGCTTCCCATATGGGCACAGGAATCAGGTAACTCTTCACCTTTTCTTGCATTTGCTTTGAGGCTGGAAATCAATGGCAAAGAAATACCAAGATGGAGTCTTTTCACTTTTATAAAGTTAGGGGAGCAGAGAATTATGTTTGGGTCTGCATGTTAGACATGTAGCTATCCAGGTTGTTGGCAACTAGCAGTTTTAAGGTGAGCATATTGAAACAGTGACTTACATAAACATTGCTTCTGAAGTGAGCTCAAGTAGCTCAAATTAGAGGTCACAAACCTGCTGGAAGCAAATGGTCTCTCTGCTAGCTAGCTGGCTAGTTAGTTAGTTAGTTAGTTATGCAATATTTCTTGAAGTGCCTTTGCCTTTTAAGTCTGAATTTGACTTGTTTTGAGGCTCTTCTTGATCACTAAAAGGTTTATCATTTTTATATTGTCAAATGTGTTCATTGTTTCCTTCATGGGTTTGCTTCTCATTAAAAACTAAGGTACTCTGAGATGTTAGGGATTTCCTAAATATTCAAGTGCTAATGTTTTCTAGTCATTACAATTATTTGGTTGGAGAGATTTAACTCAATTCCATCTCAAATCTGTTGGGCTTATGGTAAGGGCAATAACTAATGATCTGTAGGAATTCAATTGAGAAAATAAATCATGATTATTTCTAGTTTTTCCTCAAAAAGTATCATGTTTTTAATAGTTTATTGTCAAGTTGGTTTCCATATAACACCCAGTGCTCATCCCAAGTGCCCTTCTCCATGCCCATCACCCCCCTTCCCCTCTCCCCCATACCCATCAGTCCTCAGTTTGTTCTCAACATTCAAGAGTCTCTTATGGTTTGCCTCCCTCCCTCTTCCCCCTATTCCCCCCTTCTTCTCCCCCACAGTCCTCCATTAAGTTCCTCCTAATCCTCCTATATGTGCAAACATATGGTAGCTGTACTTCTCTGCCTGACTTATTTCGCTCAGCATAACACCCTCAAGATCCATCCATGTTGCTACACATGGCCAGATTTCATTCTTTCTCATTGCCATGTAGTATTCTATGGTATAGATAAACCACATCTTGATCCATTCATCAGTTGATGGACACTTAGGCTCTTTCCATGTTTTAGCTATTGTGGAGAGTGCTGCTATGAACATTGGTGTCCATGTGCCCCTATGCATCAGCACTCCTGTATCTCTTGGGTAAATTCCTAACAGTTCTCTTGCTGGGTCATAGGGGAGTTCTACTGTTAATTTTTTGAGGAACCTTCACACTGTTTTCCAGAGGGGCTGTACCAGTTTACATTCCCACCAACAGTGTCGGAAGGTGCCTGTTTTCCACATCCTCGCCAGCATCTAGAGTCCTCTGATTTGCTCATTTTAGCCACTCTGACTGGCGTGAGGTGGTATCTCAGTGTGGTTTTGATTTGTATTTCCCTGATGAGGAGGGATGCTGAGCATCGTTTCATGTGTCTATTGGCCATCTGGATGTCCTCTTTGGAGAAGTGTGTGTTCATATCTTCTGCTCATTTCTTCACTGGATTGTTTGTTTTTCGTGTGTGGAGTTTGGTGAGTTCCTTATAGATTTTGGATATTAACCCTTTATCTGAAATGTCATTTACAACTATCTTTTCCCATTCCGTTGGTTGCCTATTCGTTTTGTGGGTTGTTTCCTTTGCAGTGCAGAAGCTTTTAATCTTGATGAGGTCCCAATCGTTTATTTTTGCTCTTGATTCTTTTGCTTTTGGGAATGTGTCAAGTAAGAAATTGCTGTGGTGGAGGTCAAGGAGGTTGCTTCCTGCTTTCTCCTCTAGGGTTTTGATGGTTTCCTGTCTCACGTTCAGGTCCTTTATCCATTTTGACTTTATTTTTGTGTATGGTGTGAGAAAATGATCTAGTTTCATTCTTCTGCATGTTGCTGTCCAGTTCTCCCAGCACCATCTGTTAAAGAGGCTGTCTTTTCCATTGGATACTCTTTCCTGGTTTGTCAAAGATTAGTTGGTTGTATGCTTTTGGGTCCAATTCTGAGTTCTCAATTCTACTCCACTGGTCTATGTGTCTGTTTTTGTGCCAAGACCATACTGTCTTGATGATGACAGCTTGTAGTAGAGGCTAAAGCCTGGGATGGTGATGCCTCCCGTTTTGGTTTTCTTCTTCAATATTACTTTGGCTATTCGGGGTCTTTTGTGGTTCCATATAAATTTTAGGATAGTTTGTTCTAGTTTTGAGAAGTATGCTGGTGCAATTTTGATTGGGATTGCATTGAATGTGTAGATTGCTTTGGGTAGTAATGACATTTTGACTATATTTATTCTTCCTATCCATGTGCATGGAACGTTTTTCCATTTCTTTGTGTCTTCTTCAATTTCCTTCATAAGTTTTCTATAGTTTTCATCATACAGATCTCTTGTATCCTTGGTTAGGTTTATTCCTAGGTATTCTATGGTTTTTGTGCAGTTGTGAATGGGATCAGTTTCTTGATTTCTCTTTCTGTTGCTTCATTGTTGGTGTATAAAAATGCAACCGATTTCTGCACATTGATTTTGTACCCTGCAACTTTGCTGAATTCTTGGATCAGTTCTAGTAGGCTTCTGGTGGGGTTTGTCAGGTTTTCTATGTAGAGTATCATGTCGTCTGCAAAAAGTGGAAGTTTGACTTCTTTGCCGACTTTGATGCCTTTGATTTCCTTTCGTTGTCTAATGGCTGATGCTAGGGCTTCCAAAAAGTAGCATTTGAATTAAATTAGATAATCCAGTCAAAAGTTGAAAGAGGAAGGACATATGCTGAGAACAAAATGATGTGACAGGAAGAGGGAACCAATATGTCCATATTATTTCTTAACTGACATTAGCATCTAAAATATAAAATGTAGAACACTGGCTGTGATATTAGATTACTCAAAGTCTGTGAATCAGTGAATTTTTGAAAAATATTTGAAAAAAATTTGTTCATAATCTGAATATAAAAGCCTAGAGAAGTGAGTGAAAACCAGAATATAGTCTGAGGTAAGTGGAGTAAAGTTCATGAGAGTTTTGTTGTTGTTGTTGCTTTTACATTTATTTTTATTTTTCTTTTCATTTTTTTGAGAGACAGAGTGAGGCAGGACGTGAGTGGGGGAAGAGCATAGAGAGAAGGAGACACAGAATCTGAAACAGGCTCCAGGCTCTGAGCTAGCTGTCAGCACAGAGCCGAACACGCGGGGCTCGAACCCACGAACCGCGAGATCATGACCTGAGCCAAAGTCAGACGTTCAACCTACTGAGTCACCCAGTCACCCCTTGAGGCTTTTTTTTTTAACCTTTGCATTTAAGTAAGACAGACACACAGGAGCATGTATAAACATAAGTGTGCAGTTTGATTAATTTTTGTAATGATTACACCAGAATATCTAGCACAGATCAAGAAGAGAACATTAGCTACATCCCAAGGCTTTATTCATGCCCCCTTCCTTTCTTCCCTACAAATGCCGCTATCCAAATTACTTACACCATAGATTCATTTTATCTGTTGTTGGTATATAATATATATTGATTACATATTGATTATGTATGTTAATATATATGTTACATATATTATATACATATAAATATAATCATTTAGCAGTTATTCACTTGTGTCTAATTTCTTTGGCTCAACAACACATTGGTGAGTTTTATCCATATTATTGAGAGTAAATGTAATTTATTAAATCTCATTGCAGTTTAGTAAATCCCATTATGTAGATACCATAACTTATTTATCAATTCTACTGTTGATTTGCATTTGGGTAATTTCTTTGTTTTGACTATTGCAAATAATGCCTCTATGAACATTTTTGTATGTGTGTTTTGAAGAATATAAGTAGACATTTCTATTAGATATATACCTAGGAGTAGGTTTTCTAATCATAGGATATGCCTATGTTCCACATTTTTAAAATTAAAATATAGTTGATGCATAATGCTTCATTAGTTTCAGGTGTACAAGATGGTAATGTGATAAGTCTAGACATTATGCTATGCTCACCACAGGTGTAGCTACTATCTGTCCATACGCTATTATAGTACCATTGACCATGAGGTCAAAGGGTTTTCCAGTTTCTACTCCCATCAAAGTGTACATGAATTGTGTTTTCTATATATCTTCGCCAAACTTGGTATTGTCTGACTTTCGTGTTAGTCATTCTAGTTATGTGTAGTCCAGGTTTTAATTTGTATTTCTTTGATGACTAAAGAAGTTGAGCGTCTTCTCTCTTGGCCATTTATTTATTTATTTTTTTAATGTTTTATTTATTTCTGAGAGAGAGAGAGAGAGAGACAGAGACAGTGTGAGTAGGGGAGGGTCAGAGAGAGAGGGAGGTACAGAATCTGAAACAGGCTCCAGGCTCTGAGCTGCCAGCACAGAGCCCGACGTGGGGCTCGAACCCACGAAACGTGAGATCATGACTTGAGCCGAAGTCGGACGCTCAACCAACTGAGCCACCCAGGCGCCCCTCTGTTGGCCATTTAAACATTCTCTTTTATGATGTGCGTATTCATATATTTTGCTCCATTTTCCATAGAGTTGCCTGTCTTGATTTGTAGAATACAAGTCCTCAGTCATATATACGTATAGCAAATATTCCCTTACTCTATGGGTTGCCTTTTTACTCCTGAATATGTATCTTTTGATAGACTGAAGTAATTTAGTATTAAAACAGATTAATTGCTTACTTCTAATTTTTAA